AGAGTCACTTTCACATTTATAATATTAGTTTGGATTAGTATGCATGTTACCCAGAAACATCTATTGAGTAATGCGAAAAAAGTCGAATACGAACTAATTTCTTAGTATCATTCTAATAAATAACTAAAAAGAAATCAAGAATATGTTTCGAAGGAACTGGCTGGGTTGTCGCCAAGTACATTCGATGAACTATAGATTTCTTACAGGAGGGTTTAGTACCCAATACAAACGAGCAGACAAATCATTACCAACAATATAGTTTCAAATGCGTTGTCGGGTATTTGGAGGTAAGGTAGGAATTTGAGGATAAGCGGTGTTGGGAATACAGATGGTGGATGAAGGTTGGACATCCTGTAAAGTCACTCACACAGTGAAATACATCTCGTTACTTCACGTTAGTTTTCTAAGAAGGTTTATCATTCTTATCGAATCGTGGCTCTCGCATACTTACACTCGCATATTCTAGTAACAAATTTGTCCTGAAATGTGAAGTTCCAGCCGTAAAGTACAGTTTTAAGTCACCATCCTTTATTGTAACAACTATCCCTACAAAAGCTCACTTAAAATATCTACAGCTAAGTTATCTTTAAGTGCTAAACTTGCCAACTTAAACTCTTGCACCGGATAGCTGGCTGCTAAAGTATCTTGCGTTATAAGTTCAACTGAATTCAGTTTTGTTTCATTTAAATTATTTTGTGCATTCTTTGAATTCGTTACCAGAAATCTTGTTTTAATATCTACGTTGGAGTTTAATTCTAGGTTTTATCTGGCTCTGTTGGTGCAAGCGAATTATTCTCATTGTTGTGTTGTTATCTGCTGAGCACAGCCACCCATTCTTTAGTTGAATGAGATTACGTTAAGATGCGGAGTGTCTGTGGTTTACTACAATATTGTACAGCTGAGAAAGATTTTGTTTACTGGAAGCTAAATTAGATTTGGTTTGTAATGTGTATCTGTGATGAATTAATAAAAGTTAGCGATATCTCTAGATACAGGTGACTAGAAGATGAAAGTCACTTTACTATGATTCTATTATTAATAGTTGAAAACCTTACACAAGTGTTGCGGCGACTAAATTAAAAAAAAGATGAGATGGGAAATAAAAAAAAATGCTTTGGCAAATGTGCAACTGATTTTGGGTACAAAATATTATTAAAGCTAAATAATATTAACATTATTATCTATAATCAGCTCATAGACAGTTTACTGATGGATTGTGAGCGTCCTCTATTTGAGAGTACCTGCTACAATCTTCACAAAGTCAGGTTGAAAATCGCAGCAAAACGGTTCGTCAAGTTTATCAAAGAACGTTCCTAGCCAGTCTCTATCAAATAAGTAGTTACATAGTCGTTAAGCCGACTCATGACATGCGCATGAAGAATAGAAAATATGACAAACTAATTCGCAACGGAAAATATTGGTATTTGAAACCTACAATTATTTTTACTTAAAATATTGGTTAAGGTTTGTCGTTTGACCGCTATCTCGCCTGAATCGTAAGCGGTGGTGCGACCTGCGATGGAACACCTCATCAAGGCTTGAGTAAAGAGGTTGTTTATGGGTCCTCTACACTCTCAACTTGGAGATAATCTTAAAATATCACAGACTCCTGGCAAAGACAGAATAATGAAAAAAATGAGAGTCGAATTTATACAACTTTTGCCTGCGAAATGTTCTGTAAGAATGTCTATGGAAATGTATGGATACGAAAAATATGTGAGACCCTTTCTCGAAGTCTGTAACGTGTTTACTTGAGGCAAGTCAGGTAAAAGTTCAGGCGTAATGCTATTTGGTGTAACATGTGTCTTAGAGACTATCTGATTCTGAAGGGCTACCTCATATTGTGTTCAGACAGGGTTGTCGAAAAACGTGGCAGATTAATTTTTTATATTTTTATTTATGTAACCAGTTCCGGTTTTAGACAGGCGCTCTTGTACAATTAATTTATTTTTCTTATTCTTGACAATACCGAGCGTAAATTGGTCTTAAATGTTTCTTAGATTTACGCTATTATTTTTTGATTACTAAAATTACATGAAAGAGGGTAAGGCAAGGCAAGCTAAGGAAAATTTAACGGAAATTGCCCAATATCTGGATAAAGTCAATAAGGAAATTTTCATCAAATAATTTAAGCATTAATGCGAATAAATATCTTAAGATCTTATTAATTTAATTGGACAAACATAAATGTTCGGAAATGAAACTTTCTGAATAAAAGCCCCGTTACTATAGTTACCTATATAGATTAAGGTAACAAGCTTGTCTAAAATTATCGAACTACAAAGTACTTCATGAATTTGTGATGTTATTTTGAACGAGCAAACAATAGCGGCGTATAAAATTTTAGCGGCACAAATGTGTTAACTAAAATTTAATCAAACCGAAATCTTTTTATGTCTTATGTCATACATAGGGTCTCGCTATAAAACAGTTTTTTATTTCCAATTTGCAAACTGAAATTTCAATACGCTCCCGTGACAATATAGCACGAAATAGATTTCGGGACAGATTTGACGAGTGTCAACCCTATCATACGCCCCTTTTTGATTGAAAACAGACAAAAGGATTTTTTGCGTCGAAAAAAGGACAAATGCCTTTCAAATACCGACGTAACAGAAGATTTATACCCGCTCGCGGATAATTCAATATCTTTTACTCTCATAGTATAATGGAGACAACTTTGTTTTCTGGTCACGGTCGAAGTCCTTGAACAGCATAGATATTTCTTTGAGGAGTTCTCGGTTTTAATCATTTTCCTTCTTTGTTGTTTGACTTTTAAGAGCATGGGATCATGAAGGATATTGTTTGCTTCGTACTTAACGAAGATAGATGTATGAGCAGCCATAATGTGGACTGTATTTGTTTGATCTTTTTTATTACCTACTTACGGAAATTGATAGACTTTTGAAGCGTTTTTATGTACTTTTTTCAAGTTGATAATCACTGTTATTAAATTTTAGTAATTTTGGGTTTTCAATGTTTTTCAACCTAACAAATGATCAACTTATCACATCATTTATTTTTGACTTTTTCATTGAGTAATCCAAATTTACAAACAGCAATGAAAAGGTCACTAACCCCACAAAGGTATAGGCAGATAAACAACAAACAAATACTACAATAAAGAAACAATGACTTTACCTAACATCGAGGGAAAACAGTTCCAGATAAGATCGTACTTGTGCGGTCGGGACGGACAAATAAATGGTCGAGTTATCTTGGACAAGTAAAACCGCGAAACGTCACTTAGTCGTTCAGATAAAGGGAAACTTATTTTTAGTTTCTAAAGCATGTTTGTGTTAGTACCAGCTTAATGGTAGTTTTCTTTTTATTATTTTCACGCCGTTATTTCGTCAAGAATAACAAAATAACGGCGTGAAACAATGTGTACCTAAATAAGGTGCTGTATTTTGCCGTGCGGTGCGAATGAGGTTACAAAAAGTCTAATTCTTCTCGGCCTACCCTTAATCGCCAAATCTTTCATAACCCCGAGAATTGTTGCCGATTCTTTAACATTAGATAACCAAACTGGTTATCTAATCTCACTAAATAACAAATGAAAAATTTCAGAACTAAGGTTTAGTATAAACTGTACGTTAACGTAGTACTCTTGGTCACCGCGAGCGAGAAAGAGAAAAAGAGAGCTTTTAATTCAAATTCAAAATCTTTATTGCGAACTAAGTGTATACATATTTTAGATATTAACAATATTCATATAGGTACTTAGAACTCAATTACCTGTTTAGGTATTGCAATTATATAATTTTAATATACATACATGTAGGGAGGAATATTTAGAGATAGGAATCTAGTTTACGTCTAATTTACTCTTTCATTTTAATATTATAATTATTTGGACAACATAAAATTTGAATGTCATAAGTCGTTTATCAAAGTTTTACCTCTTCTCAAAGATGTGAATTATTTTAATTCTTCCTAACATAAATTAAAAGCTCATTATCAGAAGTTTTTAACTACATAAATGAGCTGAGAAAACAATTATTGTTATTTTAGAGGCTAATACAGTAATAACAATATCAATTACAGCTAATTCCCCTTAGAAAATAATAACGAATTAATAATTAATATTGTTCCTTTCCAATATAATCTTTGAGTTAAGTATGATATTCGACGTAATCCTGGTAAGCTTATTATTGTTCTGTATTTAGTAGGTAAGACCTTGTTGTCTCAATAGATATCAAATTATGCTACCTATGTACATATATATAAAGGTGTAAATTAAATACAATACCAGATATATAAGTTAATTGCAATACTTAGTTATTGTTAGTATCCAGCCCATCAATAATTACCTAGTCTAATGAGGTACGGCAGTACTCGTATGTAATACGCTTGCTCAAGGTGAATAGACGACTGTTACATTTGTACTAGCCAGGTTTTAAGACCGCACCCAAATGCATAAGCAATTGAGCAGTAGGAGCCTTATTGGGCTACGATGAACCGACATCACTGAAAACCAGCGTGAAACATCGTTTGCGTTGTATTTCGCGGTGTGAGTGAGGCTTCTGCAGGCCCAATTTCCTCTACCTCTGTTCTGAACTCCTCTCAAATTCCTAGTCCGGCAATTTACTCGCAACTACTCTGGTGTTCATCAGGTCTGTACCTATGGGCGGCACGGGTCCCTACAATCAGTTGAACGGCATGCACCCCATAAAACAATCTACTCATTTGAAATCTACTAGACAGTGCCTAACTTTTCTTGCTGGTATATAAGAACTGAATAAGAGACTACACATTTACAGAGCAGGGCAGCAGAGAAATCTGCTAAACCGCAACCTAATAGTAATATTAGGTTGCGGCAAACTAGAGGTCGTAGGACCTCTAGATTGCCTGCCAATCGTGGAGATTTTATTAAATGATTTTATGTACAGGAAACCGGCAGTCCGAAACGATGGACTTCTGTTACTCGCCTTTGATGATATCGCGATGTCGATTTGCATATAGGACAATTTATATGAAAGTATTGAATAGACACTCACCAAAGACCTGTGACCACTGCGCCTTTGGTCGGTTCTGAGGATAATCCTTCGGAAATCTCTCCTCGCTCCATAACATTTGCAAAGACACTTTATACACAGCTACATCATCAACGTCACATCCTACTGTTAAATCAAACAATGCCAACAACAAAAACAAGATGGCGGTCATTCGCCGCGCAACCGCCATCGAGAATGCACGTCTCTAAAAGCACTAAATATTTTTATTTCAATTTTTAAAGTGAATTAGTATTTCAGTTCATTTAAATTCTAAGTTCCGATGCGTGTTACTGCTCCGGAGAGATGCGGTGGACTTTTCTATTTTGGATTCTCGTTCTCTGCGGACAGAAATAAACACATTGGCGACGATGAGTACGCGCGGGCCGATGACTTGTGCATCTGTTTTATTTATATAAACCAAAACATTTTTCCTGTTTTGTAACGAAAATGTAGTTCTAAAGATTTCGATATTTTAATTTAAGTCTGAATTGCGCTCATATTTAATTGTGTTGAATTCGTAAATTCAGTATAGTCTTAAATATTGTTAACAAAATGGTAGCAAGGTTATATACTTACTTGTATTATCTTAGTCAAAAAATCTACTATATAAAAATAAGTCCGGTTTTCCTCCCTGACGCTATAACTCCAGAACGCACGAACCGATTTCCACGGTTTTGCATTCGTTGGAAAGGTCTCGGGCTCCGTGAGGTTTATAGTAAAGAAAATTCAGGAATAATCAGGAATAATTCAACAGAAAAGTGGGTAAATCGTTTTTCACATACAGCGCCATCTCTGATACATAGCATGTACTACAAACCAATATCCAACACTTCAAGTAGATGGCGCCGAGTGTTTTACAGCTACTCATTGTCTCTGCTCAGTTAATTTCATTCAAGCTCAGTGTAAATTATGTGGATCGTACATTTGAGGTTAAATTCAACACTCTGTCCATTGTCCAAAATGCCTAGACAACGACGTGCGAGCATCGGCCGCCGCACAAGACAAGCCAGCAACAAGTGTATTCAAGGAACTTAAGCGAAGAAAGACAAAATATAATAAGAGAAAATGACCGATTGAGACATCGCGTGAGCACACGAAGATCATTGGCATCATACAATCGCTTGGCATTCCAATATGATCCCACTGCAAACTACAGTGATGATGAAAATTTAGATATTGGACGAATGACGACTATATGCCGATATTGCAATGCGTTAAAGTTCAAAAGAGAAACGGCTGGATTGTGCTGCGCAAGTGGAAAAGTCAAACTGGATCCATTACTTACACCACCACAGCCACTGAAAACATTGTTCGATGGAAGTGATCCCGATTCCAGCCATTTTCTTCAACACATCCTTGAATACAATAACTGCTTTCGCATGACTTCCTTTGGAGCTAATATCATTCGAGAAGGCGGCTTCATGCCGACTTGCAAGGTAAAAGATACAACACACATAACCAATCACTCACACCAACACAATGAATTGCAACACATAACAACTGCATATACACCACACACTACACCATCAAACGATTTACAACGTATTCTTCAACAAATTTTAATGATTATTTGCAATTACAGATACAAGGACAAATATATCATTTGCATGGTTCAATGGTGCCAACACCAGATGAACCGCATCAATTTCTGCAAATATATATCATTTCGTCAATGGTGGATCAGTTGAATGTGCGGTGCAATATACAGGGAGCACAACAGTTAAAGAGACGAATTATTGAACAGTTTCAAGCATTTTTTCACGCTAATAATGCTGTGGTTAATATGTTCAAAACAGCATTGGAACGAATGCCATCGGATACGCACAAATTTGTCATAAGAGCGGATTGTACCCCAACAGGTGAACATGTGCGAAGATTCAATGCACCCACCGTTAATGATGTTGCTGCAATTATTGTTGGCGATCCAACTAAATCACGAGACATTGTCGTTCAGCGAAGAAGCAATATCATGCATCGTGTAAACGAGACACATCGTTTGTACGATGCGTTACAATATCCAATCATTTATTGGCAAGGGCAAGACGGATACGACATCACGTTGAAGATGGTCGATCCAATTACAGGTACAATATTTACACACTAATTATTTCCATTATTACTATTATTGGTTTCCATTAACAATTGATTTAATTTTGCATTTTCAGGAGTATCAACGAATAAAAATCTAAGCGCAATGAATTACTATGCGTATCGTATGATGATTCGTACACATGAGGAGAATGTCATTTTGAAGTGCCGTCGGCTATTCCAGCAATTCTTTCAAATGGGCAGATACGTCAGTACTAATGAAGCACTGTGGCGATTATTGTCATTTCAAATTCATGAAAGATATCCCACAGTTGTACATTTAGCAGTGCATTTGGAAAATGGCCAAAGAGTTTACTTCACTGAGGCTAATGCGGCACAACGAGCTGAGAGACCACCATCGACAACATTAACTAGCTTCTTTGCAATGTGTGAAGCAGATCCATTCGCAGCGACGCTGATGTACGTTGAAATGCCCAAGTATTACACTTGGAATCCATCAACAAAAAAATTCCAACGTCGCAAACAAGGAACCCCAGTTCCAGACTGGCCACAGGTGTTTTCAAGTGATGCACTAGGTCGTATGTACACTGTTCATCCTAGAAACGATGAGTGTTTTTATTTGCGACTGCTGTTAGTAAATGTACGTGTACCAAAATCATTTGCGCATTTGAAAACTGTGAATGGCCACCAATGCCAAACATATCGAGAAGCATGTCAACTATTGGGTTTGCTGGAGAACGATTCTCATTGGGATTTAACACTTGCAGATTCAGTTGTTTCATCAAATGCGTACCAAATACGAACGCTGTTCGCAATTATCATCACCACATGTTTTCCTTCACAACCAATTCAGTTATGGAACAAATACAAAGACGCCATATGTGAAGACATCTTGCATCGCTTGCGCATTCAAACGAATAATCCTGACATCCAAATAACCGATGAAATCTACAATGAAGGATTGATTCTGATTGAGGATCAATGCTTGACTATTGCAAACAAGCTACTGATTGAAGTAGGAATGATTGCGCCAAATCGATCGATGCACGATGCATTCAATCAAGAATTAAATCGAGAGCTACAATACAATGTTGATACATTGCAGGAATTCGTTAGAAATAATGTTCCGTTGCTGAATGAACAGCAAAAACAAGTATACGAAACATTAATGCAAGCGGTGGACAATAATACTGGTGGTCTATTCTTCCTGGATGCACCTGGAGGAACAGGGAAAACATTTGTCATTTCATTGATTTTGGCCACTATTCGATCAAGATGTGACATAGCTTTGGCTTTAGCATCATCTGGAATTGCGGCGACTCTTCTAGATGGCGGTCGTACTGCACATTCTGCGCTTAAGTTGCCACTCAATTTAAACACAATTGATACTCCAACATGCAATATTTCCCGATCCAGTGCAATGGGAAAATTGTTAATGCAATGCAAGCTCATTGTTTGGGATGAGTGCACAATGGCACATAAGAAATCACTTGAAGCACTTAACTTCACACTGAAGGATCTTCGGCGAAATAACAACATCTTTGGCGGCTTGATGATATTGTTGGCAGGCGATTTCAGGCAGACGTTGCCAGTAGTTCCCCGTGGAACGCCTGCAGATGAATTGAATGCTTGCCTGAAGGCATCACCTTTATGGAATAACGTAAAAACATTATCGCTATCCACTAATATGAGAGTTCAACTTCAAAACGATCAAAGTGCTGCACAATTTTCCAAACAATTGTTAGATGTTGGAAATGGAAAAGTCCAAGTTGATGCGACATCTGGATTAATTACTCTTACCAACGATTTTTGCCGATTTGTAGACACTCAATTAGTTCTTATTGAAAATGTTTTCCCAAACATTAGTGAGAATTATAAGAATTATGCTTGGTTAAGTCAACGAGCAATTCTTGCCGCAAAGAATAATGATGTCCACGCACTGAATTTTACCATTCAATCAAAAATTGCTGGCGATTTGGTGACATACAAATCCGTTGATTCAATGACAAATCCCGATGATGTAGTAAATTATCCAACGGAGTTTTTGAACTCTCTGGAGATACCAGGATTTCCACCACACAACTTGCAACTCAAAGTTGGTACAGTTATTATGATACTGCGTAATTTGAATCCACCGCGACTTTGCAACGGTACTCGACTTTCGGTAAAGAGACTTATGCCGAATTTGATCGAGGCAACCATTATTAACGGAAAGTACGCAGGTGAAAATGTATGTATTCCTCGAATACCAATGATTCCAACTGATCTTCCGTTTGACTTCAAACGATTGCAATTCCCAGTTCGCCTTGCGTTCGCAATGACAATTAATAAGTCGCAAGGCCAATCGCTTAGTGTTTGCGGGATAAATTTAGAAAATCATTGTTTTTCACATGGGCAGTTATACGTTGCGTGTTCACGAGTTGGGAAACCATCCGCTTTGTTTGTGTTAACGTCAGACCAAAAAACAAAAAATGTGGTTTACCAAAGAGCACTACAATGAAACGGATAATTTGCGGACACGTATAACGCTTCGATTCAGTATTTACTTTGGATTTGTAGCGATATCAAAGAGTAACTTTCATTTACTTAGGGAAGTTCAACTAAATAACACTTCATTTTAGTAGGTAATCGAAATGTATTTATTACTGTTGTGAAATGAAATAAATATTTTCCTTTTCAAATATATAATAAAAAATTTTTTTTTCTTTATCTTTTAATCACCAAACGAAATGTTACATAAAACGAATCTGGTGGCGAAACGGAGTTCGCCGGGTCTGCTAGTATTATATATATTTAAAACTAGCTTTTGCCCGTGACTCCGTTCGCGTAGAATAATGACTTACTGCAGATTTTTGGTATAAAAACTATCCTATGTCCTTTCTCGAGTTCCAAACTATGCCCGTACCAAATTTCCCAGAAATCGGTTCAGTAGTTTAGGCGTGAAGAAAAGAAAGACAGAGTTACTTTCGCATTTAAAATATTAGTTTGGATTATAAAATCCAAGTACCTTTAAATAAACCCCGTTTTCATGAAAATTATCAACATAATTTTACTACAAACTCCATCAAACAAAATAAGCAACAGATTCATCGTACGAGACGTTGACGGGTCGCAGGTGTTAGCGGTTTGGCAGGTCTTCTGGACTCAAGAAGGGGGACCCCTCCTACCCCTTTATCCTTAAATTGTGAGGCTTTTAACCCGTCCCAAGTGTCCACCTGATTGATTGATAGTGGACCTGTGTCATTGGATTTCTGCATTAGTTTAAGATATACATTAAGTATCGGCGAGATTGAGTGAAGTACTTGTTAATGTCCACGGGTGCAGTGATATTGATTTATTCAGTTATTTAAAGCGTTTTGGGTAGTATATTTGTATGAAGGCTTTATTTGGGTCATTATGAATACGAGAGGTCATGTTCCAAGGCTGATGAAAAAGATTTTAAAGGGTTTAACGATTTTGGGTTTGTTCTCAGTCTTTCAGTACGAAATTGATAGGCTAATAAGACTTAAGGGATTCCTATTGTTAAAACTCCACTGGACTCCACTGTCCTTGCCTCTACCTGTCTGTGACTGGACTGTATGTATATCATGAAGATTGATTGATAATTAATTGAAATTTGGACTTGTCTAGTAGTTTAAACAAAAATACTAAAAAAAGGAGTTGAGTTGAATTTAGCCCTTTGAGCGCGCGTAGGAATGCCACTTAGTCGGTTTTATAAAGTAGGTAACGTTGCTTTAAGGCTTGGTAACTCTGGTATAGCTTAGCTTTAGCTCTATAGAAGGAACCCTGCACGTCGATTCTATAAAATTTGTTTGATTTTGAATCTTGTTCGAGTGCGAAGTGAGCGTCGAAGTGACGGGGTAATTAAATTTTAGAATGTCACTTTTTACGTCATCTCATACTTTAGGTATCAAAATGTTGCTGTCAATTTAGTTCAACTCGCAAATGTAGCGCCAGTGTACTACTACTCACAGCGGATACAGATTCGAAGTTTAGAATGAAGTCTTACAGAATCACACCCCACACTCGTTGTTTAGTAGTGACGCTAGCGACCACTCAAACAGTTATTGACCATTTGATAAAACAATTAAGACCGTAAAAAAGTTAAGATAGTAGTCTATTAGCCATTCATTGAAAATATTCACAAATAAATATAGAAAATAGTGGGGCTTTTGGAGGGATTGAGAAATTCGCGATAACTAGTGCGAGTTGAAAAACTACCGTTCGCCTTGCCTAATACTACAACATAAAGATGAGAAGAAAATAACAAATAAAAATAGATAAAATCTTTATTCTAAATCCAACTTTATCCCGACAAAGTAAAGACCTAAGTTCCAGTTCTAGCATGATAATAAAAACTTGAAAATTATGCGCCTCGAAGTTTCTCTATAGAGGAAAAGTTCCCTTCGAGATTTTCTAGGGTCCAACTGAAGTAAAACCTCGCGTCTATTGCTATTCTATTTTCTTGTGTAACAATAAACTGTGAATTGATAACCCTATTTTTGTATAGAATAGGTACACTGGATATATAATCTTAACTTTAGTGGCGTACGGTTTGATATGATTTGTTTTTGTTGTTCATCTTAGTGGAAACGGTCTTCTACACTAATTTCCTCTTCTGAAGTAGATGTATTTATAGACATAAATCACATACACAGTATATTTAAATTCGCCACAAATATTTTGTGGATGAGTAGAATAAGCACGCATCGTGGTTGGCTGGAGTTTAACGCACCCGTTTCTCTAATGTGACTTTTTTAGCTAGTTGTGTATTCTCGCTAAGTTTATTAAGACACCTTTGTTAAACAGTGAAGGAAAAATTGTAAGGACAAGTACCTGGATCCGCCTAGACCGAGCGTTGTGATTAATGCTCAAACCTTCTCCGTTCTCCATGATCCTTTGCTCAGCAGTGGGCACATAAATATACCTAGGCGAATAATATGTTGTAGATATAGTCTAAATTCATACACACAATTCAAATCCCATAGCACTGCTCGCTTTACTTTATTAAGAACTCAGCTGATAATTTTGTCTTTTAAGAATCCGAATCAGTCATAAAAATATGTGACAAAATATGTTTTCAACCACCGATGTAACGCTTTAATAATAAGGGAACAAAATCGTTCTCGAAGAACTTGAAAGTAACTATCTTTCGCATCAAGTGCAGGGTAAAGTTTGAAAAGTTTATATTGCAGACTGGATGGCATGATCGGGCAGTGCAGATTAACTCGATTCATTGCTTGTAAGGGTGAATCGAGTTCGCTTAATTCCGATGAACGACGAAGCAGTATCGATAAGATCAGAGTAAAATTACTTGCTAAGTCTGATACATGTTCTTTATACATTCGCCTCCGAAGCTTTTGAGACAGTATTAGAATGTTATTTATACTTAAACATAATTAATTTGTGCATTTGGAACCCTTGATAAATTTTACCAAGATTTTCGAGAGGAATAATTGTTTCCGAATGAAAAAAAATTACGTGGGATTAATCAGCAAAAGTCGTAAAATGGGATTGTATCTTTGTTGAAGATACTTTTACAAAAAAAGTGGTGCAGGTGCAAATGTTGCCCGGGCCCAGGAGAAGGAAATTAGTACGTTAAACCAAACTCTTCTACTTTATGACATTAAATAGGACTTAAATATACGTTTAAATAAAAATGAAAATATTTTTGTTGGTATAGATTATGCATATTAACAGTCAGTCATTTATTACAATTCAATCGTGGTAATTCGAGACTCAATAGAAGAACAATAGAACGCGTTCGCTTGGAGTTCGATGAATTTATAAATAATATTAAAAATATTTAAAAAAAGGTTCGAATAAAAACCAGAGCTCCTTAATACGAGGTTGATCATGAGAAATGGTTTGACACAGATCGGGTTACTGCAAATGGTATGGAAATAGTCTGAATATCATTAGTGATGTGACAAGCGTTTGGATACGAAATGAAGATATATTTAGATGGTATTAGGTCTCGTTACCTCAGGTTGAACTGTAGATTTTATCAGTTCTATATCTATTTATTTTGATAGTTCTATTTTTGAATTGTATATATATTTACGTTTATCGGCGATATTTACCGTGTTGTGGTAAGTCTGTATTTTTTATAGTCTCAGTTTTACCATCTTCATTTAACTTCCTGATAAAATTATCTATCGCAAAGTTTATACAAGTTACGTTACGTGGATTATGTAAATATATACATAGCAGCTTATGAAACATTGAAATGGAGCCTCAATAAGAATTTATGGGAGTTATACTACAAAATTAGGCCAAGATTTTTGTGGCAGGATAGCACCAAGATTTGTTTTCAAGCCTTTGACCGCCAATATGAAACTAGTGATGGCAAATCCACTATCGTAGGTCACTCATAATCTACGAGGCGGTTAACGTGTTAATGATGATAACCTTTGTTCTTACTCCGTGATGATAACTAATTTATTAGAACCTAGCGCGTCAGAATTTGAAACCTTATTTTAACATGCTACTGTGACAGTACAAAGCATCATCATTGTTAGCCCATAACTGCCCAATGCCGAGACAAGGCCTCTTCTCACACGAAGAAGGTATGAGCATTAATCACCAACCTTGCTCATGGCGGATCGACAATTTCAAACTCAGATTTAGAAATTATAACTTCAGGTTTCCTCGTGATGTTTTCCTTCACCGTTTTTAGTGATGTTTAAATGCACTTAGAAAGAACATAATTATAATTAAGAACTAAGAAAAAGTCACAATTGTCACCCTTATCCGTGAGAAGCAGGAGCTTTGAACTCTGGGCAACCACGACTAAACACGTAGAAAAGCATTGACTCACCTAATATGTGTAGTTACTCTAACAACGTGTTGTCGATAGATCAAACTTAAACAACACGAGAACTAAATAAGTTCTCTAAGGAACTACAAATCGATATGCTTGATGAAATCGCAATATTAAATTTCAAAGGCTAGGTAGTCATTATTTATTTGGTTGTGGTTAAACATAGCGTCAACTAGACCGAAGATCGACAAGCGATTTGTGGCTAAAAGTTACCCAGTTGTACAATACTATAAACTTTGTTACAGAACAGCTTTATAGTATCAACTAAATATCCAATCCTGTCCTTGGAAGTAGAATCTCGAAGCTGAAGTACTACCCAATTCGGAAAGCCACAAAACAATGTTCTTCAAGTTCCTGTACGAAATATTCTAGAATATTCAAGCTGTATTAAAGTAGGTTACTGGTTGAATAGCTTTACTAATAGATGCTTAACAACCAATATTAATAATTGTATTGTTCAATTCTTTGGTATCAGATGGTAGAAACAGAATAATAGTGTGGGAGAGCCATGCTAAGTGTGGGAGAGCCATGCTTCGGCAGGAATGAGTCGGCTCGACCGGTGTGATACCACGGCCTCACAGAACACCGGCGTGAAACATCCACAGCGTTGTGTTTCGCCATGTGAGTGAGATTACCGGAGGCCCAATCCTTCCCCTCCCCAATCCCAGCGTCCATGGGCGGCGCTAATTGCTTACCATCAGGTAATCCGTATGCTCGTTTGCCGATCGTTTACATAAAAAAAAAAATAAGTATTCTGGTCGATAGGTAGTTGGATATAAAAAATACTCTCCGGAGTTTTTGAAAGTGTGGGAGCGCCAAGCTTCAATGCGTATGGGTCAGTTCGAGTGAAGCGATACCACGTCCCCACAGAAAAATAACTGACGTGAAACAATCACAACGTTGGGTTTCGCCATCTGAGTAAGGTTACACAGTAGGGCCAATCATTCTGCTTACTATTTATAATACAATTGTAGGTATTTAGTAAACATTCAATATTTCTGTTCTGTATTATAATATATTCATGCTTATAGAAATAATTCGTGCCCATTCCTAGTCCTTACAACAAAGCCTCTGTTCAAAATTCGTATAAACGAAGAGTTTGAACTCCCAACTCTTTTGATATTAAAAAAGTTTGAAGACGCTATGAAGGTTCATGGTTGGACTTCAGCTTTTACTACAAAACTAGATATTGTTTCGTATATGAATATCAAGTTGTTTGTATTTTGTTTTCCGGATAAAATGATTTTTGTATTGTCCTCGTAGTTTCTAGGTATAAAGACGGTGCAAGGAGTGCACGGATGCAAAGTTGGTGATATCCAAAATCAAATTCGAAATAAAATATTCAATGCCTTTTTTATTGATGTTCATTCCCGTGTGTTTTGTTATACTTATAATAAGACTCTATTTAGTATAAGTATCACATTCTAAATATAAAAAGGAATAAAACCTTCATTGTTGTCTCGAACCTAAAACCTCTTTGTTATAAACTATCCTCCTATGAATGTAACTTATCTCTAAAGCACATAATCAAAATATTGCCAGCCGCAAAAATGGTGTCGGTGCAATATTTAGCGCAACGTTCCCCTTTTAGATGTTGCCAGCACTTACACTTAACCTAGTTTCTAGGATCTATTTTATGACTTGCAAGGGAAGCTTACGATAGGTATCTTATTATTTCTGTATCAGCTAGAAATAGTACATAAAAATATTCAAATGGATCAGTTTGCCCGAGTTTGACCTTACGCGAAAGAGATTCTGATTGCTGCAT